GAAAAGCAAGTTGCTGTTGCAGTAAGGTTGGGAGAAACCTGGGGCAGGAGGAGGGGTGGGAGGCCGGCTGGCTAGTGGCTCAGCCCTGAGTCGTCAACAATAGCAACTGGACTCTGGCCCCTTCCTTACCCTGCTCATCTTCTCCAGTCTGTGCTTTGCTTTCACAGGTAGCTCTTGGGGGGCGGTTTCCTATTAAAAAAGAACAGTGTGGGGGCGCCTGGGTGGCTCAGTCGTTAAGCGTCTGCCTTCGGCTCAGGTCATGATCCCAGGGTCCTGGGATCGAACCCCACATCGGGCTCCCTGCTCGGCGGGAAGCCTGCTTCTCCCTCTCCCACTCCCCCTGCTTGTGTTCCCTCTCTCGCTGTGTCTCTCTCTGTCAAATAAATAAATAAAATCTTTAAAAAAAAAAGAACAGTGTGGGAAGACCTTGCACTTCAGGCATCTTAGAGAAACAAAGAAGGTCAAACCAAGTCTCCTTATTAGTTGTTATAGCAACAAAGAAAATATCCCCAAGGCGCTGAAAAGGCCATGTGGGAGCCCACTTCCAGAGCCACAATCACAATACATCTCCCCATCCTGTGGGTAGCCCACATGCAGAATCACATTTGTACCTCTGTGCCCGAATTCCCGCATCTGCTGGCATCCCAGCTCTTCCTGCTGACTTGCTGGCCATGTCCTGGTTAAGAACACCTTAATGATTGCCTCTAGGGGCCAAATCTCACCATTTCTATCTCCTCAAGGTTTAAGACGGGATTTTATACCACCTGCCCTAGAATTACCTAGAGACACTGATCGGAAATGTAGAACCACGGGCTCCCCAGTATCTTTTGCCAACATTTGAGAACTACAAGCTCAGAGAGTAGAATGCGGGTGGCTCCATCTTATTCAGCACAGCTGTAGGCAAATGATTATCACAAGGTCCTGCCTTGGCTGAATGGAATTATCACAGATTGAGCCAATGGGCTTACTCTGAAATCAGCCAACTGTTGACTTTCTTCAGAAGATGGGCAGCCTTACCTCCAATATTTAACCCAAAGAACTTAAAACCTCAGTATGAATGGAAAGTATTGAGTTTGCTGTCTTAATGGGAATCTGAGAATGGATGTAGTTTTTTCCTGGGACTAGAGGGAAGAAGATTTTGTTAACACAGGTGACCCTTGAGCAACACAAGGGTAAGGCACACTGAATCCTCCTCAGTTGAAAACCTGAGAATAACTTGATTCCCCTTAACTTAAAAACCTTAACTACCAACAGCCTACTGTTGACTAGGAGTCGGATTTCCAATAACGCAGTTGATTAACACATGTTTTGCATGTTGTATGTATTATATATTATAGTCTTATAATAAAGTAAGCTGGAGAAAAGAAAATGTTAAGAAAATTATTATGAGAAAATACATTTACAGTACTGTATTTATGGAAAATAATCCACATATAAGTGGACCCACACAGTTCCTGGAAACTCCCACACACAGCCAGGCACACCCAGGGATGATACTGAATAAATACTTGGGAAATGAATGAATGACTTTCAGAAACCCAAATAGTCTCACCCTAGAAAGCATTTTAATAACTACTACATTAATCGGCCTCAAACTGAGTAAAAGATCTTTATATCACTGGCCCTGCATGCGAAGGGGACACACAGAACATATACTTTATTCACCAATCCCCCCATCCCACCTCCCACCAAAAAAATTGTTGCTTTTCTTAGTATATAATTAAAGCAGAAACAACAACTATGTCAAAGAAGAATTCTGTAGCTTAACCTCCAGATTCAGCTCATTTCCAATGTTGGCATGGGTGCTTGCTTTAGAATATAGTTTGAATCACGTACAAATCCACATGGCTTTGAAAACCTCCCCCTTTTCTTACATTACATGGTCATCACCTGGGTTAGAGATTAGAAAAAGACAAAGAAAAATCAGTTCAAGTCCCTATTCCCTTTATTTAAGCTCCAGGATTAAGGCGTTTAAATTTTTCATGGTTTCGATCCCAAACCTGAAACCAATAAAAGGGAGTATTTGAGGTTCTTATAATTTAGAGTAGGGGTTGGCAACTACAGGGTGGGTGAATCCAGTCTGCCACTTGCTTTTGTAAATAAAATTCTACTGGCACACAGCCATGCCTATCGGCTCACGTATTATCTATGGTTGCTTTTGCACAGCAGAAACAGAGACCATATGCCTAAAATATTTAGATTCTCACCCGTTAAAGAAAAGCGTACTGCTCTCTAAGGCAGCACGTGTTAGGGCTCGATATAGTAGGCTCAGGAATCAGACTGCCTGGGTTCAAATGTGAGTCTGCCCTTTAGTAGCTGTTAAAGTAATTAAACAAGGATGGGGTGGGGCTAAGGCGCCAGGAGCCCCCACAAGCCAACCAAAACGCAAGCCAGAGTCAATGCATGGGAATCCTAGAATATGAAACTCAAGCACAACCAATCACGAGACTTTCCCAAATAAAGCAACCACTTAAACTAGAGTCAGTCAAATGATTTCTTTGCTTTGCTTCCTCATCGTCTCTATAAAAACCTCCCCCTGGCTCCTGTCTGGGATCTTGTCCCCAGAGCACCCCTAGCCACCTTTGGTTTGGCGTTGCCCAATTCAAACGACTATTGCTCAAATAAACTTGAAAACGTTAATGTGTCACCGTTTACCTTTCAACAAAGCTAAGAGATCTTGGGCATATGATTTAGATTATTAAGGCTCCTTAAAGCTCAGTTTCCCCATCTATAAAATGGAACCAAGAATTCTACTTACCTCGTGGACCCATTGTGGAGATTAAGTAATACAGGTAAAGCACTTAGAATGGTGCTTGACAATAAATAAAAACCATTAGGAAACCAAGTAGGACTCTAATTCTTTTTTGGTCGAATGTTTCTTTTTTAAAAAATCCTAAAGGAGCTTCTGATGTGTAGTTTACTACATTCAGCGACATTTCTTTACACGCTCATTAAGCTTTAGACTTGCTTCAGCAATTTTGACTTCATTAAAATGATAATTATTTCTTTAATTCCATTTCCTTTATCTCTTTCTTCAACATCAGCCCCCATGTTGGCAGCCAAGGCCCCGGGAACCAGGGAGAACCTCTTATGAGACAGTTTTAGAAGAGAAAGAAAATAAAAACAAGAGCCAGCTAGAGTTAGGATAATAAATGGTGAAGAAATAGTCAAATGTTTGTGGCGAACCAGATTTTTAAGAAGATGAATCTGAATACACCTGGGAGAAGGAGGATGAGCTAACATAATGTGGAAAGTAGCTACACAGAACACAGAGAACACAAAAGCATTCCAGCAAAGCCATTAGCGCTGTGTCATGTCTGTGTCCCTAATCTGCTAATTCTTAGCTGAATTTAATCTTCCTTCCCCCTCCCCCCCGATTTTTTTCCACCTCCAAGACAAACACATCCTAACCAACAGTGTCCTTGGAAACCCCAACTAACTCAGATCCAATGGGGATTTTCGCTAGGCAGACCTGGATTTTAGCAGGTCCTCTGGGGTTTCATTGGTCAATCTCCATTTCGAGAAATTATGCACTTTTGGGAAGGAGCACAAATGAAAGTGAACCTTTTTTATGGCCCTGAGTAAAACTCACTTTTTCCTAGAAAATACAGGAAAGATTTTTCTGGGGAAAACTAATTTTAGAAGGGCCTAGCTCAGTGTCTGGCACTGAGAAAGTCCACAATCAGTATTAACTTGCCTCCCCTTATGGGAAGAATTCTTTCGCCGGGATAAGAGTTTATTCATCTATCCATTCAATTATCACGTATTTTTCAAGCATGAGCTACGTGTAAGGCACAGGTCTAGAGCCTGGGAAATAGGACAGTCAGATTTAGCAAAGAAAAATACAGAGCATGCCATCAAATTTCAATCTGAGATATACAACAAATAATTTTTAGTATATCTATATCTCATGCAATATTTGGGATATATTTACACTAAAAACTTAAATCATCGTATATCAAATTTAACCAGATGCCCTATATTGTATCCGGGAATACTACTGACAAGAGGGTAGTGACCGAGACACACACCATCCCTCCTTCCCATGCAGCCATAACCATTCTAGCTTCAGGACCTCCCAAGATGGAATTCCCATCTGGCAGATCCCAGTCGGAAAGCCTGGGGCATAGACTGACCACCTCTTCAGAGGCACATGACCGCTGGGGACCCATTTAGCGGTTGTCACTCTGTATTATAATTGCAACTTGATTTCCCTGCCATACTCCTCTGCACTTAAGGTGACAGGGCCTTCGTCTCTTTAGCCCTCCATCCCTGGATTCTATTGAGCACAGTGTCCGGAACTAGAAAAAATGCTCCATCCAGACCAGCTGAATGAGTAAGTGGGCGAATGTATAAATGGTCGCACTAAATCAAGGGCAATGCCAGACCTCTCATGGCTCCTAAGGAAGACAGTCACATACCTTCATAAATACCGAAGATAGAAGAGAAAACCAGATCACCAGAATCCAAAGAACATAGGGGTGAAGAATTGCGCTTTTATTTATTTATTTATTTATTTATATATTTTTTAAAGATTTTATTTATTTATTTGAGACAGAGAGAATGAGATAGAGAGAGCATGAGAGGGGGGAGGGCCAGAGGGAGAAGCAGACTCCCCGCTGAGCAGGGAGCCCGATGCGGGACTCGATCCAGGGACTCCAGGATCATGATCTGAGCCGAAGGCAGTCGCTTAACCGACTGAGCCACCCAGGCGCCCCGAATGCTCTTTTATCTTAAAATGTTTTACGAAGGGACTCCAAACAAAACAAAGGCTTTAAAAAAAAGGAAGATAGGGGGTAGGAGGAAGATGGTGTGAGAGCAAAACTATAACCCTGAAAAGAAGACTAAAGGGTCCTTGAAAGTTATTTCTTAACCTAATAGGTAAGAGCCAGTCAAAGCACTGATTTAACTAATTGGTTACGTAATAAGAAATAATTTCCCGTAGTTAACCAGAACCATAATATTAACAACTGAGGAATACGGTATCAACGAATAACAAATAACGAAGAACCATTTTATTATCAGTACTGACTGTCGTACAATTGAAACACTCAGAAGGAAAATCACAAGAATCCACAAAAGGATAGATTCAGAGAAGTGCAAGGGACATAGTATCTACAATAGAAAATCATTCTGTGGCATCGACTCCTTTCTGTCCAGCTGTAAAAGAGGGAACAAAAAGTCGGTATCTATAGAGCATGTCTCAATCACGCTAAGATTTTTTTAAAAAAAGAAAAAAGAAAGAAAAAGACAAGTATTGCATTGCAATTTCCCAATGACCAACACAATTAGCCAGGACTTCCCGCCTCTTTCCATCGTGGCTCCCCTCGCTGTCATCCTGTGGCCTCCTGGTGGATCTGCGGTGGCCAACACATCACGAGTGTGTCACACAACGATTCTCGATTCTCGGCAGCTCCTGTCAGTGCTCCGATCGGTAGGCAGGAAAAGTCTCTGTCCGATGAAGCTTCAGAGGGCTGGTGACATCTTTTCCGAAAAGAATTTAAAACCGGCGGTTATATTTCAAGAAAGCACGCGATCAAATTAGCTAGCAACAGGTTTCTATAGCAGAGAAATAAGTAACATACAACATCAGATTTTTTTTCCGAGGGCGCTCAAGTAAGAGTCAGGAGAGACTACATGATTAACATCTCATTTGCACGTGGTCTTTGTACTGAGCTATGATCAGACTACTAGCGGTTACTTTCCTCAATTTTTTATCTTCATCAACTCCTTGTTCAGGATATTGAAGGGAAATGAGAAGGAATCATAGGACTATGAAAACTTTTGTCTAGGACACTCTTTGGAAACCGGACTAGAAATAAGGCAATACTGGGACGCCTGGGTAGCTCATATGGTTGGGTGTCTGCCTTCGGCTCAGGTCACGATCCCAGACTCCTGGGATCGAGCCCCACGTTGGGCTTCCTGCTCGGCGGGGAGCCTGCTTCTCCCTCCCTGCTTGTGCTCTCGTTCTCTCTCTGACAAATAAATAAGTAAAATCTTAAAAAAAAAATTGCCAATATTATATTTATACTTAGGAAATTTTGTTGTAAGGACTCCTTAGGCTTTATCAATTTCAGGCTTGGACTCCAAACCAAGATAAGTGAAGAAGTCAGGAAGGCAACACAGAGGGCCCATGTCAGCAGCCTCTGTGAGATAAGACAGGGGTTGGCAAACTTCATCTATAAAGGGTCAGATACTAAGTATCTTAGATTTTGCAGACCATACGGTCTCACTGCAACCACTCAACTCTGCTGCCCGCAGCATAAAAGCAACCACAGTGCATACATGACGAATGGGCATGGATGCTCCAGCAAAACTTTGTTCACAAAAACAAGACAGTGGACTGTCTTTGGCCGGCAGTCCCTGGTTGGCCGATCCCCGCAAACAGAGCGCTTGATTTTATACAAACAAGAGGTTTTACTGCCACCTGCTGGCAGTAGTATTTAAACCCATTAACACTGTCTCTGTGTTACAGTGTGTGGGTATGAATATGTGTGCAGTGGAAACAAAATACAATCTGTGTTCAAAATGGTTAGGAGGTTGGGTTTGAGCCCCGTGTTGGGTGTAGAGATTACTTAATGAGTTTGAGGACTTCAGGTAAATACCCCATACATCTTTATTACAGTTTGATAAAAGTTCCCACAGGAAGCAGACAAGTGTGCAAACGGCATGGATGCAAAACCCAAATCTTCGGTCAAGAACAAAGCCCTTCCTGAACTTTCATTTATCACTGCTTAGATTGTAAAAGTATGTGAGAAAAGTGACTGATAGTATTCACTTGGGGTCACATCAGAATGGAAGCCCCTGCAGCCTCGATCATCATGCTGGCTAACAAATCTTTCTGGTTTGGTTTCAGTGCTATTTTTAGCTTAAAGCCAGGAAATGGATAGAATCACCTGCCCCATATTTTTGCAGGTCACACAAAGGTCATGAGCTGGGACCAGCCCGTAGACCCTATCTCGGCCCAGACTTCTTCTCCGGCCTGCACAGGTCATAAAGCATTTGGAATTGATGGTCAATAGTTAACTTCAAACTTCCATAAAGGTGTCTATTTCCCTGTTCTCTTGTCCCTTCTTCTGCCCCAGGGTTCCTGGGATTCACCAGGGACCCCACCACGCCCATCCGTGCCCTGTCTCACTGTTTGCACATCCTCCCTGATCCTGATAGACATGAGAGCTTGAGACTTTCATTTATTTGTTACCCTTTCACATTTGCTCAAATCTTAATCTATTCTCTCTTAACTGATGCACACACCACATATGTGACTGTGTTAGAATTAATATTGAAAAACCAGTGTTGATGTCTCTGAAGTAGCCGCTTGCTTCTAGGAATCTACCATCGTTAAAATAAACATGAAAATTGCATGAGCTCTTTCCTCTGGAAGAGCTCTTTCCTTTCTATGGTATGTGCCTTTGAGACACCCATGGTGGCAGAATTTCTTCTCACGGGTAAGAACATACGATAAAAGAAAGGAGTTTTAACGCTAGTCCCTCCACCCACTAGCCATGTGATCTTGAGCAGGTACTTGACCTCCAAGCATCTCAGGTTCTGCCTTCATGGAAATGGAGAACACAGTCCTGCTTTTTCCAACTCCAAGTGTTGTCAGGAGAACCATATACGGCAACGTGAAGGATATCAGGAAGATGGTGACACAAACATCTGGTGCCAATCTCTGATTTCCTAAAATTATCTAAAGTCAAATCTGATAAATGATACCTATTTTCTTCTTGTTTATAAACAAGGGACACTGTCTTCCAAGGCAATTCCATTAGAAGGATTCTGGAACTATTAAGCAATGGAGCACCTTTGAAGTAAAAGAAAGATTCCTAAGAGGATAACTTTGAAAGGAAGTGACAGAGTTTAAGAAGGGCCCCCACTGAAGAGGGACACACCTGCTGTCTCCTACCGCCCCCAAGCAGGTCTTTAAGAAAGGCTATCTTCATAAAAGATACTCATTCAGTATGTTTTGTCTGCCTTGTGAGGAACAAATCTAGCACTTCACTAGTGGTCTGTTCATGTTTATTTACATTAAAAAAGGAGCGAACAGGTTTCATGTGCAAATAAATTTGCAGAGTCTAGTTTAAACAAAATTAAACAGATTCTTTATGGCAGGACAGTGATTGGCATTCTCAAACTCCAAAAGGAGAATTTAACGTAACATGGAGCATTTCCCCCAAACTTACTGGACTACAGTACTGTTTTGGGAAAGAACCATATCTACTGAGGCTAATACTCCACGGAACACACTTGGGAACCCACCGCTCTGTGGTTATTTTAGGCGATGCATTCCTGAAAGAACCCTGTGAATACAGTGTTCAACTTGATAAACGCTTCTCTTTCATGAATTTCCTCCAGGATTCATGATAAACCTCTTTCACGTGTTGATTTTGTATATGCTCAACCCTCAAAGGCATTTCGATATGAAAACTGGAAATGGGGCAGGAGAGGCAGTGATGGTGGATTAAATCTGTCTTCACCCACCAGGCTGTGTCAAAGCCAGCCCCTCTTGCCCACCACCGACAGGAATAATAAGAGAATAATTCCAAAACCAACCAGGAGGTGGCTCTGTAGGACTGAATTTGGAGAGGAATTGACCTGTTCTCCAACCAGATGGACCAATGTCCCTGTAAGGGTCTATATGTTTTCCAAGATTAGCTTCCAGATCTGTCATCTGGAAAAGTCATCCTGAAATACCCCCCAGGCAAATGAGCTGGCCAGAGGAGTCACAACGCACAAACACCATCAAACAAGAAGACATCATGGGCCATGTAACCTCAATGTATGGCACACACAGGCAATGATGTCATTCATTTTCTTCCAGTTTCAACTTTATTCTGGGGGTGGGGGGAGGGGAAGGAGGAAGACAGGTCGCATATGCAGATCAACACACGAACTGATCCTATTTGTCATGTAAGTGACCACCTCTAATAAACAAGATAATTTTAGGTAGTCTGAGAACTTTTTTTTTTTTTCTTAAGGTAACAAATTACTGGTAAATTGAGTCCCATACGACACATAGACCACATATTGGCCCTGTATCTCAATGAATACTGGTGACTCAAAAGCGATCCACAAGATAAAACAAATGTAGACAAATCAACGCAGAACATGTAGGTGAAGAAATCTCTCCGTAAACATTGGTACAAATTAAATATAAAAATTAAACACATTCACCAACACAGGGAACAAAAGTATGTAGAAGCAAATAATCTGATGGAGTAACTGGTACCAAAACATAAAGCAAAAAATAACTCTGAAACAATTATCATGCCATTTTCATGCATACAGATACTCTAAGATATTAGAGTATTCAGCAAGTATTATCCGTGTGCCAAACAGGGAAAAACTGTAAGAACTCAAACGGAAATTCATGTTCAATGAACATCATAATGTGACAAAGAGCAACCAAGAGAAGCTTTAATTATCACCTTCAAAACCTAGAACACAATCATCTTCAAAACCTTATAGAGTATCAATACAAAGCTTGAGAATCCATCAGCTCTGCAGGAAATCTGTGGTATTCATTCGCATTGTGGTGGCCATTAATCTCACTAGAAATTAAGAAATCACTATCCTCGAATTACTGTTCCGGGACTCCTATGTCTGTGATCACTTGAAAAATCTATACCAAGAAACCCAAACCTGATTTTACAGTAATCTCTCATTATTTTTGAGTGATAGATTGTAGGGATAATTAATAATAAAAACAATAAAGGGAATAAACCCAAGTTTAATTCTGATGAGTTGATTTGTGACATGCTAGTGTTGATAAAAGGAAATAATGGGAACTTCTCAAAGAATGGGAATTTCTTTCTTTGCTGTTATGCTGTGTATAGCTCTTCTCTACTTCTAGAGGTACCATTATCACTCCTATTACTTTGGAATTAGGGGATTACTAGTCTTTGACAATCATCCCAGACCTGTGAGCTGTGTATGGCCTTCCACCCTTAATATGGGCTTTTTGCGTGCAGGTGAATTTGCAAATTTTGTTGTTGTTCTTGAAAAAATGTGTCTGTATGCTGTGGAAATAGAGCTGTTTCCTTCATAGTAACCAGATGTAGATGTTGTCAGAACAGTCTTATATACCTTGGGAGCATACAAACAGAGTGTAACAGTATCCACAACATCCTCTTTATACCTAAAAAGATGTTTTTTGAAACTCCAAAAGATTTTGTAAAGTATTATTATACCATTAGGGTCCTGATAAGACCCTCAGGCTTTGTCATTGCTGATGAATGTCTGCTCATTTGGGTTAAGGATAGTTTGATAAGTTAAGGAGAGGAAGGTTAGTATGCTCTTCATATGGCATCTTTTCTTAAGCTTTTCTTAAGCTCTGGGATATTCACTAATAAATTCTAAAACTGCAACATATCCTAAGTGTTCAGGTTATCCCACTGTCAGTGCATCTTTGCAAACATGCTATTCTAGGGAAATCCCACCATACATCACCTTTGATGCAAACCGACTTCTCAAATTACCACTCAGTATCTCAGGAATTAAGGTCACTTATCAATTTCCTCCCTATGAAGCCTACATCACTTTGGTTCCCAACTTTTCTTTGCAGGCCCGACATGCAGAATCTAAAATGACAAACTTTCTTGGTAAAGATCATCTTGGTTAAGTGTAAAAAGTCAAGTTACAAAGCAATTTAATAGCTTTGTGTGAATTTATGTTATTCATACTTCTTTAAACTTTCAATAATTACTATTTATCTGAAGGGGGGGAAATCGGAGGGGGAGACGAACCATGAGAGACGATGGACTCTGAAAAACAAACTGAGGGTTCTAGAGGGGAGGGGAGTGGGGGGATGGGTTAGCCCAGTGATGGGTATTAAAGAGGGCACGTTCTGCATGGAGCACTGGGTGTTATATGCAAACAACGAATCATGGAACACTGCATCGAAAACTAATGATGTAATGTATGGTGATTAACATAATAAAAATTTTTTAAAAATAAATAAAAATAACTGCTATTTATCTTATTGTATATTAAAAAACACAGCCAGTTGCTGGGCTCCTGGGTGGCTCAGCTGGTTAAGCGAGTGCCTTTGGCTCAGGTCATGATCCTGGAGTCCCTGGCTCAGCAGGGAGTCTGCTTCTCCCTCTGCCCCTGCCCCCCTCATGCTCTATCTCATTCTCTCTCTCAAATAAATAAATAAAATCTTAAAAAAAAACCACCGCCAGCTGCTATAATAGTATAAAGGCAGTGGCATACAATTTTCTTTACAAAAAGGAATTTATTTAAGGAGACGAGACCGTGTAAAATTGAATAATAGTACAGAGGGTATGCATATGAGAAAAATGCTGATAATGTAATTCGAATATTGCAAAAATTTGTGAACATGCTAGGGAACAAATGGTCTTCGGGACAACCTGATCTAACCCAACTCTCTCTCTCTCTCTCTGTGGGTATGTCCTGGGAAGTAAGCTTGTTCACTCACACGGGCACTCAGGATATATTTTCTGAGCATCCACACTGTGCCATGTTCTCTGCTGGGGAGCAGAACTTACAGTCACAAAGACTAGAATGTAAGTACCCTCAGTACACATTCGTTCAACAAATACTCAGGATAGCCACTGCGTCAAGGCACTGGGGGGATAAAATGATGAGGACAAAAGACCCAGCTCTCCTTGGCTTTACTGCTTCCTGGAAGACGAGTCCACTAGCCACACAATTCAACATGATGTGAGCACTGGGATAAGGACTCTAAAGAGGGGGGTCAGCACCCTCGTCTTGGGAGCACATATAGTCAAGATCCCACGCCAGTTATACGGGAGTCCGGGAGGGCTACCTTGGAGTCGGGAGGTAAGACCTAGAGATGAAAAAGAGTGACCTAGGATGGGGGGAGAGGCCCAGGCTTCCAGGAAGAAAGAACGGGAAAAGCTCTCTGGGGGAGAAATGGCCACCAGGAAGGGCTGAAAAGGCTCAGTGACTAGCGAACAGTCAGTGCTATTTACGGCCACCTCTGTGGCCCTTCATTTGTTCTCAGATTCATTTATTTGACAGATTACTGCATGTGAACTAGGTGCCGTCTCGCGCATGCCCTTCAAAGTTCTGGCGTCTTCCAGCTGATCGTGCAAAGTTCTTCAGCAGGGGTCCCCCCCAGAGGCCTATTTATTTTTTATAAGTTACATATGCACAAGCTATTCTTGCATACTGTAAACCATAAAAACTGCATTTGAGAAGATAAGAAAATGTTTAAAATTTTTTTCCAATTATTCCTGCTGTCCCCACCATGGGCCCTTCTGTATCCCGCTTCTGAGCCCACTTTTCTGGAAGACAGGCCTCCTAGGGTTTGCTTAGAGTCCCCGCAGAACCAGAACCCAGGGCCCTGCCCAGGGCATCCCTTTCCAACAGCACATGGCTCCTAAGCTTGGGCATTCGCGAGAATCACTTGGAGGGCTAGATGAACACACAGATGGCTGGGCCCCAACCCCAGAGTGCCTGATGCTGGAACTTTCAGGATCCCCGAAGGGGCCTGAACATTTGCCTTCTAGCAAGTTCCCAAGTGATGCTGATGCTGCACTACTAGCCTGTTTTCTCACCGCGTGGACCCCACCCCTCTTGCGCACACCCTGTGCAGGTGTTTGATCAAGGTGGTTTGCTCAGCCACTTCCAGAAGAATCTGCATGTTAAACTATTTCCCCAGGACGCTGTGATCGAGGACGTGCCCCGGAGTGCGGCCTCGATGGGGGCCCTGGCCCCGGGGGAAAGGGGACAGCCAGGCTGGCTGTGCTCCCCCACCACAGGGCTGCCAGGCGCACTGCCCGGGCACCTGGCCCCGCGCTTACCTTGCAGGTGGCAGAGCTGTCCAGCGCTGTGCTGTCGTGTGATGTGCTGCCAGTAGGCACTACGGGGCAGGGGCACCATGGTGCTCAGGGAGGCGGCCCGCTCGCTCATCTTCATCTGGAGCTGCACAAAGGGAAGAAAGGAGTGTGTCAGCGACCCTGGGGCTGGAAAAGACTTGACTGAGAACTGGGGCACTGGGAGTCAGAACCTGAGAGCAGCTGGTGGGCAAATCGATGGGCATTTCCCCGCCGAGCCACGGGGCCAGCTATTGTTTTTGCTTAGTTAGCAGCATCCGTTCTTCCCCCTGCTGGCAACAGTGTGTCCACTTTCCTCTGGAGAACCTCCCCCCAGCTCAGCCCAATCCATCCGGTTACAGGGCGCTGACCTCACCAGTGATTCTAGGGATGGTTGGTGACCCAAGTCAGGCCAGTAAGACACAACCCCTGGGAACAGTTATTAGAACTTTTGTGGAAGAGAAAATCAACAGAGGTAAGCCAAGGGTTTTTGCCTGCGTGGTTCACTGCTCTCTCCCCCAGGTCCAGAATATTTCCTGGCACGTGGTAGGCGCACAATAAATACACGTTGCGTTGAATGAATGGGCTTCCTTGTGGGGCTGCTGGGGACAGGAGATGAACAGGAGCCTGCCTTGGAACAACGAAGGGAGAGCCTGCCAGTCAATGAACTGATTCCGAGGAAGACAGCCAAGAAAAGGGGGTGACCTTGGATCCCACCTAAACCTGGAAACTGGCCCTGGACTTCTCAATTATATGAGCCAATTATCTCTTTTCAGTTCAAGCTGATTTGAATTGGGTATTCTGTCACTAGCATCAGAACAAAACACTGTCTGCTCTTCCAAGCGCCTGATCCTTGTTCCAGATACTGATGGAGGGAAGGGGAAGCCAGGGCTCTTGGGCCCGGGTCCTGGGGAGTCGTCTGTGGCCTGTCTGACACACTGGCGGAACCGGCTTTACAAGGGACGTTTCAGAGAGAAGGTGGCCTCGTAGGATGGGTAGGAGTTGAGTAGAAGGACAGGTACACAGGGACAACACAGCTGGAAGAGCATGAGTGTGATGTGAGGCAGCCCTCCCCGCCCCCCTCTCATCTCAGCCCCATCTAAATGCAATCATGGCTTAGTTTTATTACACATTAACAGGAGAAGTGACTACTTGCAATGTTTGATTTCCCGGAGTTGTCTGAATATCAAATAACGAACCTCAGTTTTACAAATGTGCCCAGAAATACACAGATCTGCACAAGCTTATGCAGTGGGACATAGTTTGCAAGCATCGCAAACCAACCAGAGGCAGCTTGAGTCTCTACTGCTGAGGACCTGGTTATTTGCACTGAGACACTAGGACATACTTGGCAACTGCAAACCAGAGGAAGTTAGATTCACGTCAATGAAAAAGGAAACATTTATATATTGTATTGTTAGGGAAATGGTGAGTTGCAGACCACTGTATCTAGTGGAATGTCATTTTAATTGGTTGTATGAGAAGCAGTGACATTAAATGCCTGCCCACTTGGGTTGTATTAGAGTTCAGTACCTGCTCAGCACCTGTCTAGCACAAACTAGGTACAGGAAAAAAATGAGGGATATAATTATTATTATTATGAATTGCAAGGCCCATTTAGAGATTTTTTTTTTTAAAGAAAACTCAAACTCTCCATTCTACACACCTCATCAGTATGGTAGATCCAGGCCTAATATCTGTCCATTCATTCAGTGAAGCTGAAATAATAGGAGGCTTCATACCCCAGTGACCAAAACTCATTCTAGTTGATGAGATTGAACTTGAAAAAAAGATTAGAGCCATTTATTCCAAAGATAATTTAACTTACATGTGTTGCATTTATATGCGATGGATTGAATTCTCCATCCTATCACAATAGGACAATTACCAGAATGTGTTCCCAGGTAGAATTAGTACTAGGTTTCATAGGGACATTTTCTTCCCCAAACATGTCCTGTCGGATCAAAAGGGCAAAGAGCCGAGCACAAAGCTAGTAGAAAAGTTCTGTCTCTCTATTTCTGTACACATGAAAGTCTCAAAGCTTAAGAGCAAAAAACAAAAACAAAGAAGCAGAAACCTATTTACCAGTGACTTCCGGTGACATTCAACCTCATTTACATGGAACACAAAAACAAACAAACAAACAAACAAACAAATAAATAAATAAATAAATAAAGGAAAAGAACTGGATTTCCAAGGTCCTGATTATTGGATTTTCTTAATAAAAAGATATTCTATTTAATACAATAAAAAATTTAATATAAAGAAACATTTGGGAAATAGCCGTCCCTTCAACTTATTCACTGCAGTACCGTGAATGTAGTTCTGCAGGCCAGCATGATTTGACTGTATTTTTAGAAAGCTTATTTAGGAACAAGAATGCAATAACACCAACATCATGTTTCATGGAGAACATTACACAGCCTGGCTCTCTCTTTCTTCCTCAACCCTTTGGAAGATTACCGCAGTTCATGAAAAAAGGGGCATCTTAATTGTCTCCAGAGAAAAATAATGAAAAAAAAAAAAAAAGTCTTATTTAACAATGCAATACTTTAAGGGTGAGAAGTCATTTGGTGAGATACCTATCAGGGAAGTTTCCACCCTCATTCTTTATTGCTGCAAGGCACTCTGAGTCTTAGTCTCAACACCCAGTGCAGGGGACATGAATGGATGCTCACTGACACCACAGCTGGAAATACAAAGTAACACTACATTTTCGGAGGATTTAAAATTAGGTCATCTTGAGTACATGGAGAGAAAGGTTGCATTCTTCCTCCTTTTTCTTTTTTAACCTTACACACTTTTATATAGTTTGGTTTTTCTCGTTTATAAAAATCATAGTAATTTCACATTAAGGAGTAAAAGAATAGATGACCCCAAACCATAAACGTTTGAAGTACAGCTATTTCTGCTATAACGAGACATGGACATTTCTGAAAAACCTCCCCATCTGCAATTCTTTTGGGAAAATCGGCTTATGGGACGACCCCTCAAAACGTATGCTGCTTTCTAAGCAAAGGAATCGCTCCTCTGAGAGGCAGCTTGGAGGCTTAGAGGCTGGAGGTTTTGCAAGGGTTCTTTAAAAAAACACACACACAGGAAAACATTTGGTTAGAAATGCTGTCTTCAGAAGTCCAGGCTATGCAGATGGAGCGTAGGCTCTTCCCCAAGGGTGTGCCCTGCTGGCTGTGTAGCCCCGTGAACAAGAGCTGGTCCAGAGCTGTACAAGGTGGGGATGCACCTCTCCGGGTAGAGCCTTTGGTGCCTCTGCCAATTTCTTATCTTCTTAAACTCTAGCTGGAAGAGGCTCTGCTGTGCAGTAGTTTACTGAGGGCTTTTCCCTTTCCTGCTAAAGGTTATAATTCTACTCCTACTATTCTGGGCTTCCCTTGCCTAGGAAAAAGAAAAGTGGGTTGTTTTTTTTGTTTGTTTGTTTGTTTGTTTGTTTTTTGCACCAACGCACTTTGATATTAGAATAAATCATTCTCCAATTTATCAAATGCATCTCAACTCAATGTGAATACGGAAATGGTGTTTTAAGTAGAACTGTCTACCATATCTGATAGTCTTGTTCCCACCTTTTCATTAAATAGGTATCTTTGAACTCTATATATATTAAAAAAAAAAAAAATTATCCAAACCATCCATTTTGCATCCTGCGACTATTAGGAAAGTTTAATACAGTCATGGAACACCAAACTACGGGAATATCCAGCCCAGTTGCCTATGTTAAGAAGCCAAAAAATCGGTACCCGAGTTCACAGCAAGGTGTTAGCTGGCCCCTTCGTCCCAGGACCTGAACTCCATCTCTCAGAACCTACTGACCAGCACCTATTTGTTCTCCACGTTTGTTCAAGTTCAAGGTCACATTCAGATTGCCTCCTAAAACCATGGCGGCCAAGTGGGGAGCAGTCTTTACACGTGCACATAAACATGCTAAGTTTGATTTTTCCAGAGATGATAAACTTACAAGGTTTGGCCATCTGAACAAATAAATGGAAAGAACATTTCTTCAGCTTATCATCAAATACTTGTTGATTTTGAGGCACAGTCTATAACCTCAAAGAGCTTGTGTCTAAGACAATACAGTAAGGGCAAAGCACAGGAAATCTGGGTGCCCTGGGATGACAGGAAAAGGGCATCACAATCTGAGCAGGAGGAGTGACAAAGGAACATAGCAATCAGGTAGGAACACAGATTAATCCCCAGCCGTCTCCCCCGGGGTCACAGAGGTTCTGGTAGCTCCGCATCTTAGTACATCTCTCAGACTACCTCCGGTCCGCAGGAGGGCTGCAGGATGTCTGAGGTCAGACTAGATGTCCTTAGCTGCTGCTTCTGAATGTTAGACTCTTGAGATGCCTGGATGTATGCGCACTTGCGGCTCTGGGAATGATACACCCAGGGAGCCCGGACTGTGGTCAGTGCAAGACAAGGCTTGGAGACAGTAAAGGGAACATGGAGGCTCAAGGCTGGTTGGAAAGATCAGTGATTAAAAATCAGAATTTTAGAACCAGAAGGGAATTGTGTTCTTTGTTTTGTTCACTGAGGTAGTCTCAGCTCTCAGAACAGTGCCTGGTAAACAGTAGATGCTCGGCACACTCTTGCCGAGGGAGAGAATGAATCCAGTCAATGATGTGAGAGAGCTGGCTCGAACCAGCTTGCAAAAGCCAAGTATTACATTTCAGGCATTTTTTGAGCTGGTTGTTAAATGCAGCCATCAATAAAAATTAAATTACACAAACTTACAGTTAAATAAACTGTGTATATAACATATGCAATTGTATAGATGTTATTCAAGTCATAACAGATGTATTACTCAAGACTCATCACTTCCTGGGTATTTTACTATCATCTATGCTCTGAAATTATTTGAGTCGGTTACATCTACCTGGTAGAAACACTGTAAAATAGCGTGTTTCTCTATGTCATTTCCCAACTCTGTGTACACACGCACGCACTGTTTTTCAGAGAGCCAGTTATTAAACATTTGCGAGCACGTGAGTGAATCCAACCCATAAGGGTAAAGAAGGGCTTGCCAGCCAAATAGGGAGTACAGACAGGCTGTGTGTGGTCTGTGTGCACCCCATTTCCCCACTTCTCACCTGGTTG